AGTGAGCTTAGGTGCATACTAGCAGGAGCTGTACAGTGGTATATATTCTAAAATCAGAAGTATGCCCATTGCAGGCCTCGCTATGTTTCTGTTTGAGTCAATGGAACCAGTTACCTCTTAGACTGCCTGGAACCACAGCGCGTCTGCGGCATCAGAAATAGAGCTGAAACCACCATTCTTCAAATAACCTGTTTCATCACGCATAGGGGCATAGGTGATACGTATTAATGACCCAGTGTGCTAGTTGGATGCTTGAGGAAATCCTTATTTCCAAGATAAGGGGAATGGATTTAATAATCCTTATGTGGGGAGGTTGAAGCAGAATGTTCAAAGCCATGATGACCTCTGCGTCCACCATGAAAGAAGAGTGCCAGCCCTGCTTGCCAAAAGTCTCCACTAACGGGAGAATGATATATACTAATGTTGGAGAAGGGGAATTGCAAATATTTTCATGGCTACATTTAGGCCTAGCAATTTACCTCTGTTGTTTACTGTTGAACTCTTAAATTGAGATGATAATAATATGACTTTACAGATCTGTGAACTTGTCAGTGTATCAAGTAATTTTTTTGGAGCAGCCTTTGAAAAATCTTGTCACCAGCACCATGAAGCTAAGGTGAAATGTCAACGATTTCTTGTAAACGAGACACTGTGGTCTGTGGTGCTAATAAAACCCTAGCTGGGATGGTATCAAGGGAATATACAGAAAAAGCTGTCAAGGTTTCGTGGTTCCAGGAGAAACAAGATTGAGTCATACTTGTTTACTGAAGAAGGTAAAATGTGATAATAGTAATACTGGGAAGTAAGCACTCCTGCCATGTACGTTAAATAAAACTCCAAGACTTCTGAGAAAAATAATCAGTATCCACATTCATTTGGTAGTAAACCTTGGTTTGAAAACTGTGGATTTAAACTGATTACTGTGATGAAGGGTTTGCAAAACAGTGCTATGGTGGTGCTAATTGAGAAATGTGAAATGGCACCAAAGCATTTAGCATGACAGGGAGTGACAGAGCTCTGCAGACTGTGCAGCAGGGAGGGTTTTGACCCCGTTTGAAAAGCTGATGCTTTATTCCAAATGTTGTAGTATAAGTTCTCTCCCTTCTCTGTTGTCGTCTATCATCCCTCTCGCATGCATGCTCTTTGAAGAAGAGCCAGGATGGTAACAGTGGTTAAATCCAAGTCCACCCACTGTCTTTGTTTGCAACAGAAGCCCATTAAGACGTAGCATTGTTTATGCTAAACCTGCATCTTCAAGCATGAGACTCAAAGTCCCCTGATGACTGACAGATACTGGGGGACCCCATCCATCCCTGTGGCTCCGGGCCCATGAGGAGCGCTGCTAAGGGACTACTTAGCATTGTTGATTTTCTTATGTCTGTCATAACCACAGCCTCTTGAGATAATGTGGTCATCTTCTGTTTGCACTGCTGAGCGTGGTTACTGTGATTGACTCTCAGGAGCATGTGACTCAGTGGGTAACCCTGATATCTAATGTGAAACTCTTGCTCTTGTTGCTGTTGGGATATGTCCCTGCCTGTTATGTGTTCGTGCTGTTTGGTCTGTGATACTCCGTGGTATAGGTGAGCATGATTAAACCACTGGAATAATGCCAGTCTGGTTAGTTTTTGGTATTTGGTTTCATTTGGGAAGAAACTTTTTAAGAGAGCATAAAGCACTTCATCTCCCCATCCCCTTCTCTTTGGAAGACGGTATTAATAGGGGAGGACGCGCATTTATGCTTTTATAAATAAAACAGACAACTGGGAAAACAATTACTTTTAGAGAAAGCCTGGAGTTCTTCTTTAGAACCTGAGTGTAGCTTCACACTTCCGTACAATGAGAGTTTTTAAAACCTGTTAAATAGGGAAATAACCTTCTAAAGCCTAATTTCGGGTGTCCATTTCACTGCCATTTAGTTATCTAAATCTAAGGCAAAACCACTTCTAGTTTCATTGTTCCTTTTTCCTGAAACTTGCAGTAAAATATAATCCTGTGAGATACTACCCTTTTGATGGAGTCTTGCAGAATATGTTGCTAGCAGAAATACAGTTTTTCTGTGAGTGATCCAAATAGTAGAAGGAATATTCCAGTGCATTTTTGTGCAAGCTGTTTAGAAGATTTTCAGAAGCCTGATCCTGTAAACTGTTGTAGTCTTCCATCACTTTTGGCTTTTTTTACCTTCTCAGATGTCTAGATCTTCAGCAAACAGCAAGACATAAAGGGTTTGCAGGTGGGGGCTACACTTAAGCATTTACTTCTGGTAAGTTACTGGAGAGGAAACCAGAGCCCACTGTCATGGTGGGCACAGCCAGCCAATACATACAGAGAATTGTCGTCTTTCATTGTGCCCCCTTCACTGTCACACCCCCCAAAAAAGGAAGGAAGTGGAGAGGGGAAGCTTGGCCTTGATGCTGAGAATTTCCCAGTAAAATACTCTGGACTGACATAGCTGTGTTGATTGCTTTTGTGTAGCTAAAAACAGATGGATATTGGATGCACGCATACAAATTATTTTTCAAGTGCCTTTCCGTGTGACTAATTGACTTTCCTTTGTTTGTTTCATTAGGTTGTTTTTGTTGTCTTTTTTAACTTTATGAGCTTGCCAATATCTGAGAGAGATCATTCATGTGAAAGGAAGAGGAAAAATAATTGCACTTTTTCTAAAGCATACTGTGTTTGTAGCTCAGGTGAGAGAAAGACAGAGAGCAGCTTTCTTTAATGTTGAAAGGCATATGGTGTCTGAGGCTCTTGATCAAAATCTGCACGTCTTATGCTCAGCATGCATAGTTTAAATGTCTGTACCTAGCCAAGACTAGAAGCCCCTTAACCTGGAGATCAGAAACAGACACTGGACTTAAAAATCCATCTCAGTCTTGCAGTCGAAAGGTGATGGTGTACATATAGCATTTATTCACCTTCATAAAAAGATGAAATACTTGGTAAGAAAAATGAAAACAAGAGAACTCTATTGCTTAGAAAGGAGTTTCTAAAAGCAAAGTTGAAAAGTTTGAACGTACTAGAATTAGAATGGCAGGGGAAAACCACACAGTGGAGATGGTGAAATTTCTAAGCCAGTTCTTTGAAATTAAGAAATTAAGAGAACAACCCAGCGGTTTTGTGGCCCTTTTTTCAGTCTTTCTCCCATGTAAATGGAAACAGGTCATCCCTTATTCAGACTCCTCTGCAAGTTAGCTGTTACCACATCCATTTGTGTAACCTACCTGGGCTTGAATGCTTCATTGTTACTTTAAGTCTCTCTTGTGTTTCTGGAGGCCGAGTGTTTTGGGGAGAAAGGAACAGGAGGTTCATTCTTGTTTGTATAGAGACTTAACTTTCTCCTAGTACAGTCAGGTTTGTGGCATACAAGATTTTTATCAATAATTTTTTTAACTTCTTAATACCCTGTTAAGAAAGATCATACTGTCTTCCTTTTTGCTTTGAGTTCACTTTCAAAATTGTAGTAGGCAGTCTATTATAAAATGAAATATTATAGGCTTGGTCTCTGAAATGAGGTGAAGGAGAGAAGTTGCTAACCACATAAAAGGCTGTTCAAGCATATGCAATGCATGAAAAAGATGGAAAACCACTTGTATATGAAGGTGACAAAAAGTCACTGCGTATTTGAATATTTAAAGATCATTTGCTCATTAGTAGTGAATTTCAAGTAGAAGATCAGACTAACAAACCTGAGACCTTGCCACAGCTGGGTACTAGAGTTAGGAAGCCTTTCAAAAGCAACAGTAGCAGTAGCTGAGCGTACATATTTTTGACCTATTGCCTATATGTCATTCAGAATTAAGAGTGATCCCAGAAAATTCTTGACATATTAAGACAGCAAATGCATTTGATAGTCAACTACGGTATTCTCTATTACCCAAGACTGATTAAATCCTGAGTATTTTAGGCAGCTATGTGAATTTTGAGCACTATGATGCATAACAATATTTAGCCCCAGGAGTTTGGAGTCTCTTTGTGAGTGTAAGGGGGCTTGTGTTGCCATCCTCGTACACATTGGTATCACATCTTTTTTTTATGAAGGCCTTATGGATCAGCTGTACAGTGTGTTGGTAGTGCTGAGCTTGCCCTGCTGGACAACTGCGCGTGTTGGCCAAGAACGCAGCCTCATCAACTAAACCGTGTGGCTTTCACCTCTCTATCAGTGCTGCTGTCACACAGAAGACCAGGACTGGGTCCTCTCCTTTTGTGGGTGTTAGATCTGAAAGGCAGTGTCATGGCCACTGTCTGCTTTCAGACACCAGAAGGAGATAAACCTCAGAGATGAAAACTATCAACAGCCAGCTAAGCATGAGTTGCAGCATCACGTGTCAACTGTCTCTGTCCTGTCCTTTGTGAAAACAGACAGCTCTGTGCGCAGTTCCTGTAGAGGTGGCTTTTCCATTCACACAGTACTACTTCAACTACAGAACAAAAAACACAGCAGTCAGTGTAGGCAGTTCCAGGTCAGTTCAACACTTTGTAGTCCTCTGTGAATGGCACACAAGGCAGTCCACAGTGAGCCTCTGGGTAAGGTGTCTCTTGGGTGAGAAAGTCCCAAAGAACTCTCTTGCTTCCATGTCCGTCTCAACTGAGTGCTTTTTGAGCTAATTTGAGCTTCTTTCAGAGTAAAAATTGATTTGTTGACGGCAGCGTGGAGCAAACATGTTTGGAGTGTTATTCAGCTGTCAAAATGTGATATTGCTGATGGGCGTGCTTTTTCTATCTCTGTACAAAAGGAGGAGCTCCAGTCTGTCATCTTGCTAATTTTCTTGCTGCATTGCTAATGTTGACCTTTTTTTGGTTTTTAGCATTCCTGATTTCTTACTCGTTGTCATGTTCCCGAGTCCCTGATTCTTTATTTTTTTATTTAAAGCAGAGGGGGAGGGAGATGGAGAAGCAGGTAACCTCTTGTTCATACAGAGTTTCTGAATAAAATATTCTCTGTTTTTATCTTGAAATCATTTTGTCACTGACACATCATTATCATTTTCTTTATTTAGTGAGGATAAGGTAGTAGAAGAACAACCAGAGGAAGACGAGGAGCTAACCGTTGTGGAAGATGAAGATGCTGATGACGATGATGATGATGATGGTGATGAAATTGAAGAAGAGACAGAGGAAGAGTATGAGGAGGCAACGGAAAGAACTACCAGTATTGCAACCACGACTACCACAACTACAGAGTCTGTGGAAGAGGTCGTCAGAGGTAAATTCATGGGCATTTGGCTTGGGACTGGAAAACTGATACTGCTGCTTTGCATGTTTGCCCTTTATGACAAAAAAATGTTCCAAACAGCAAAATATCCTAAGTCACAGCATCATTATGCTTCGGCTTCTGTAATTTGCATGTTGAATGCCCTCCCCTTTCCCTTTCCCATTACAAATATTCTTTGTAGATGTGTTGCCTATGAAGTGTGGTCGTTGTGTGTGATGTGGATGGAAGCAGAAAGATTGGTTTTATTTTAAAGTAACATTAAATAAAATTAGACTGCTATATGTAGCAAATTACACAGAAAACGTATGTGTGTTGAATTATCATGCACATTTGTTGCAGAAGGATAGGGAGTGTCAGTTCAAAGCAGGAGCTAGCACTAGCTGGTTTGGTCTCTTGTATTAACAGCAGTGATTAAGCATTTTGTCTGATTTCTGTTAGACACCTGTTTCCAACTTTTCTCCATGAACTAGTAATTCAGTAAAATTAGGTGAATTTAGAAAGAACTATACAGAAAAATGAACCTGATTAATGAGTTACATTAGAGGAGGAGGAGGAGGAAATAGGAATGCATTGCCCAAAAAAGCAAACGTGGAGTGAGAAAGAACTCTTCATTTCTAAAATATTTTTCATTATCTTTTGTAGTTATTAACATAACTGCATTTTAAACTTTGAATTTTACCCTAGTCCACGGACAACGTAGCAACGTAATATCTTTAAATGCCACGTTTCTCTTATGATACATATTTGAATGAATGATCCTTGTATTTCTATTTTAATAAGTATAATTCCATATGATGTAAATCTTAGTAAGATGCCGATTTTTCTGCAGTGCTTACGTCTTTACCAGTAAGTGCTGAGGATGATGACAGAAAATGAGATTAAAGGCTACAGTTGAAAAGAAAGGCGGTGGGATGTGCAGGAGGCAGAGGCAAAATGGCAGCGATCGGGGCGATTCTGAAACAAGGCAGAAAACATCTGGCCTGGCTCCTTCCCTCTCCCCTTCCTTTCCCACCCCTTGTCCTCTGGGGATGCTTGGGACCAAAGTGCCAGCAGAGTCCCCCATTTTGCATGTGGCAGTGTCCTTTTCTCTTGAACCGTGGTGCTGGTGTTTGGCAGAGCAGGTACGGAGCAGAGGGCTGCCGGCTGCAATTCATCACATGTGCCAGGGACAGGAGGGTGCCCAGGGGATGCTTTGGAAAAACCAGAGTTACTTCATTTAGGTTTTTCTGTTCCATCTACGTACAGATAAGCTCGCTGATCAAAAATGCTAATGCTTTACTGAAACCACTTGCAAATGTTTTTTTTTCTAAGGCTGGCAACACAATCTTGTGCGTTTTGGTCTTATGTAACTGCGTTGAGTGTTTTGCTCAGTTGTTGGAGAGCTATTTCAGTGAGGAGGGGGCGGGAGGAGATTATGTTTAAATCTTTAAACCAATTAAATATGTTTCCATATGTGAGCTTTCACCACCTGGGGATAAACTGCCCTGTTCTCGCTGGTAAATGAATATTGAGAGAGAAAAAAAGAAATAGAAGTACACTTGACTTTAATGGGATTTTGGATGAGTGGAAATAAGGAGAAATTAGGCAGAGCGTGTTTCTTTACTGAGGTTGACATTTCAAAGAGGTTAAGATGTTTAGCCTTCAGGAAAATGGTGTGTAATAGTAGGAATGTAAAATGCAAAAGAGATGAGGCGAACTGTTGAAGCCACCTTTCAAAAATCCTGTAGGAATGTATGCATTTCCTAGCTGACAATGAAACACCATTGTCCTGTTTTTCCCAGGTCTAAAATTTCCCAACTTGGGTGACTATGCTAAAATACGTGTTGCTGCAAATGAGGTGAGAGTAATCCATTACCGATAAAAGTTTTCAGTGCAGTTCCACCACAGCCCGTTGGGCTGCTTGAGCTCCAGCCCTCCTGGGTGCCATGGAGGGTGCCAAGTCCATCCCTGAGTGTAACTGCTGTCTGCCAGAGCTGCACCATGCCAAGTGCTTGCTTATTTATAAACATGGAAGTGCCCAAATAACGTACAGCCTTGGCCTTTGCTGCACTTCAGCGAAAGCTTCCTTCGGGGCCCTCATCCTCCTGATACAACCAGCAGATCTGGCATAGAAGCTTCTCTGGTGAGCATCTGCAGTTGTTGCTGTTGCAAATAGGAAAGTTTGTCACTTGCTCTTAGTGCAAATGAAAAAGGCAGAGGTGTCTCGTAGGCCACGTACGTGTTAAGAAGTGGTCCATACGCCTTGAGACGCCTTGAAAGCCTGTCTGGATGGGGTTGGAACTAGATGATCTTCCTCGTAGGCAACGTACGTGTTGAGAAGTGGTCCATACGCCTTGAGACACCTTGAAAGTCTGTCTGGATGGGGTTGGAACTAGATGATCTTTAACGCCCCTTCCAACCCTAACCATTCTATGATTCTATGATTAGCATTAAAAAGCACAGAGAGTAAGTTTGTCCAGTTTCAGAGGAGTTGCCTTTCGTTTGTGAAATCAACGAAGAGCAACTATTCTAAAACCATAAATTAGAATCTGATTGTGGGTTGATACTGAGCCTGTTCTCCCCCAGATCAGTGGAGTGATTGCTGTCAATCATAAATAATTCTAAAACCATAAATTAGAATCTAATTGTGGGTTGATACTGAGCCCTTTCTCCCGCAAATCAGTGGAGTGATTGCTGTCAATCATAAATAATTGAAAAGCATAAATGTATTATACTTTAAAGACACTTGAGCTATTGTAGAATCATTTTGTCAGCAATTTTATTTCAGCGCATATTTTAATGAATCATGATCAAAATAGCAATAGTAGAACCACTTGCAAACTTATTTTCAGTGAAAAGGAAGTTAGTCTTGCCTAGAGAATGGGAGAGGTCATTGGCAGGAGGACAGTCTTTCCATTCAGTTTCTGCAGCAACTGTATTTTTATGAGCTATAGTGTTTATTAAAAAATGTGGATAAACTTTCCGTAGCACAGTGTTTGCCAGTATTCACTTTCCTGCCTTTTGCGAGGGACCGTTTTTACTCTCCGTTCACATGGAGTAGGACAGCAGATCCAGTTTAAACTTTCAGATGCGCTCTTGCTGGGCTTCAGATGTTAAAGCCAGCCAATGTGGGTCTGAGGTTACAGGGATCCAAAGAGTGAAATTGATGTCAAGTCCATGTTTTTCATCTTTGATCACCAGGAGATGTTATCACTGAATTTGTGCTGAAGAAAGTGTGGCTTATTTATGAAGCTCTGCAGGAAAACTGTGGCTTTTGACTTTAGTCTCTCTGCTGGCCGGGATTTAAGCAAGGGAGCGGTTTGATTTCTGCTGTCATCGTCGCAGCATCACGGGTGTTGCAGAGCTGCTTCCGAGGCATCCAGGCTCCGGGTGATTCTTTCAGTGCGTGACCAAAGCAAGCAGGAGCGCTGCTCCCCCGTCATGTGCAATTGGTTGTGATTTCGTTTCTGCTCTGCTTCAGCACAGTAGGTGACAAGAAAAATGAGTCTCTCTTGGCGTACAACAAAGAATAAGCAATTTCAGCGTAGCGCTCCCCGTCAACATGGCAGTCAATCAGGTCTCGTTTAAAGGAGAGCAGCGGGGTCAGCGCAGCAGCCTGGCGGAAACACTTGGCAGCTTCTTCGCGCACCTATCAGCAGATGCAGGAGATTCAGCAGCATAAGCTTGACCTGCCTTGTCTAGCGTGTAATGCTGCCCTTTAGCAATCGGTTTTGCTTCCTCTAATTCAGTTGGATTTCTTTTAAACAGTTAGGAAAGAATTTAAGTAGTGCTGCTGGACGTGACATTTTAACTATGTTTACAATCTGGAGTTGCAAGTGAGAGACCATATGCTGGTTTTCTAGCAAGAGAAGTGTAGCCTGATGTTCGTGTGGTAGCTCTTAGCTTTATTGATCTAGCATGGTGGGTTTTTCTTCTGAAAATTTTTATGTCTAAAAGACTTTTAGACATTCAGTGACATCTACCATCAGTGATGTTCAGTGACAGCTACCATCTATTCTAAGGCAATAACTGTAGCTTTTAATTAAGGCAAGGGGGGTTAACCCTGATTGCTAGACCCATCAGCTGTAAATATTGGGTTAGTATTAGTAGAATATACTAGTTTAATTGGGCTTTTTTCACCCTCAATAGCTTTGCCCCATTTCCATCTTTGAAAGGTTATTATCTTCCTTTTAAAGTAGTAGTTCCTTGCTCTTCTTCATTTGCTTTAAAACTATGCAGTATACTTCAGTGGAAAAGTGATAATGTGTAGCTGTATTCCCTATTAAGAAAATATTGATAGGTTGCTATATGAATAGTACACATTGTGATAACTGCTGGGTTTTTTGTTAGGAGATGTTCATTAAGGGTGATAATCTACACTAACATATGAACAAGAGGTGATAAAATTAACCTAATGGATTTGCATTAAAATAACTGTAGCTTTTAATTAGACATTCTAAGTTAAAGCACAGCTATTCCACCATAATGTAATACTTCAAGATGTGTTGCAATTAGAAGAAATCTTTTTTATGATCTAGTAATCTCGTTGATGGAAAAGCAATATATTATTCCTATTTTGGGTCAAGGACAATAGTGATCTTTTACATAAGGCTGGAGAATGGAGAGTGGATCTATTTGAAATACATCCTACCAGAAGAAATCCAAAAAAATTCTATTTCCCTTGAGAAAATTTCATTTTACTGTATTGAAGGAATAAAGAACAGAATAATTTGGTTTGCTGTGTAAAAAGACTGGAATGCACTTTGGGATTAATCCTCATATTCACTGTCTTGCCATGTTAGCATAATCATGATGCCATGTAGAAACTATACCTTTTCTAAAATATACATAAATTCAAGAAGTTTTATTGACCCACATTCAAAATCAAGCCGTGGTTTTTGTTTGAATTCTGGCCGTCAGTGGTAGTTGTATAGCACCTTGGTTCAAAATGTAGTTGTGTTGTGCACAAGTAAATAGAAAATGTATTTTTACATATTTGTCCTGCTTCAAAA